AGTAGTGTTAATTAATTAACATTTATAATTTGTCAGAAAATAACACGATATTACACCCTCAGAAAGGATTTCTGTTACAGAGACAAAAAATACTTTTGAAGCATTTATATTTCTCACAACCTCATTTGGTACAAAAATAAGACAATATCAAAATAAAATCAATAATTCTTATTCTACTCTATCGAATTGAAAAAGATTGACTTACTATATTGAGACAAGAGTAATTTATAGAAATGTAAGTTTATATATTCTTACGTTTAGAAAAAATTTCCCCTCCAACTTACGATGCATCAAGTTGGCAAAAGACGATACATACTTTTATTTTATTCTAGTCTAGATTTTAGAATTTTTCATTAAATATGATTGGCGCTATATCGATCCTATTTTATGATACATTGAAGTGTAACAGCATTGGATCCGGAAATTTTTTCTGTGGGTGTATTTTAACTTAAAATTTAAAGTGGACTTTTTGGGACATGTGAAAAATGTTAACATTCATATTTTATTTTTTACTGTGTAGCCAATCAAAAGACTTAGCCGCTTTTAGAAGCGCTTTTATTGATAAAAGAAGGTTCAGAATACGTTCCATACTCTGTAAAAAAATTACATGTAAAATTACAATTATTATAGTGGGTAATATTGGGACCACATCTATTAAAAGTGTATATTTACATACATTAGTAAATTTACATCTTGTGGGTGAAAATATTGCCCTATATAATAAGTAAACTGCTTGCTTTTAATTGCGTAAATTTTACAATTTTTTGTCATTTTTCATCATGCATAAATAAGTATTTACACAACAAGGAATAAAACAATTTTTTTTGTAAAAGTACATAAATTTATATATTTCCGCTATTAATAGTGTAATCGTTACACTTATTATGTATGTAATTTTACGTACTTTTTTTACAGTGTAGTCTGCGACTACAGCGTAGTCATGTGGGAATAGTCAGGAGGCGACAGTCGCGACTCCCTACCTCGCGAGAAGTGCCTAATATCGTTGCGCAATCCTCGGCGGTGTAATATCCTCCGCAATTACCACTTGCGATCGGTTTCGATCGTTGAAAACGGTTTTTTTACGACGCAAAAGCCACTTCTCACCCGGCGCGTAAAAGTGGAAGTCCGCGCCGATAACTTTACCTGTTGGCCAACCCGTTAATTTCACCCGTTTAGACGGACCGCGTGAGTCCTCCCACAGTTATTTATGCCCCAATTCATATGATAATTTATCGTCGGCCGCATGCCGCTTGAATGCCTTCCGAAGACACAGAAAAGGTGCGACAACGGCAAAGAGGCGTGCACCATGCGTAACGTTGGTTCTGCTATGCGGAACGATGTGAATTTTAACATTGACCGATTGTAAACGAAACGCCGCATATTCGTAGAAATATTTTCACTCAAGTTCCTGCAGTCAAAATATTGCCGACTCGCGTTTCATGTTGCTCGAATTTTAATTAATTAGGACGAGACCCCGCCGAGTGAAATACATCGACCGATTGCGCGACTCGAGAGAGAAATTCGAGAAATTTAACCTGTAGAGGGCTGGCATTTTTCCATTAAGATTTGCAATTTTTTAAGCAGAAAGTTTATGCATATATGTAATCTACATGTTCCGCAAAGTTTTCAAGTTTGCTCCTGGCCGCTGTAGTGGTCAGTCAGGCCCTCTAAAGATTAAGAAACCGGCGCGCGTCCCGCCGAGCCCTCGTAAACCACCTCGTCCCAGATTATTCGATTTATCTGCCCGCTCGTGGATATTCGTTAAAAAAAAACGTCCTTCGCGCGAGTTACCCCGGTGACGTAATCCCCGGTGATATTCGGTACGTCGCGCGCAGCTGCGCCGCGCTAGGGTTGAACCGGGTCGGATGTTTCACGAATGCGTCTGTCCGAGATATAATAAACAAACGTGTGCCCACAGCCACCGATGTATCCGCCGCCGAAGCGACTCGTTCGAAAAGCGAGGAGAGCCGCAGGCCGCGTAAGGTGCTTTTAATAACTGGTTTTGCGATATCCTGCTCGCGGCTTACAGCTTCGGCATAAATATCTGATGCACTTTGCACGCAAGTGAATTATGTATTTTGTATTTTCTCCTTTCTAACACCTGCGATTTGATTCGCTGCTCCTCTCGCTCATTATGTCTCCCCCCCTCCCCGTCGCCGTTATGGCCGGCCGAACTTTTATCCGAAACTTTAATTAATTAAGCGTTTAGTGTTTACCTGGGACAGCGATTCGCCCGCGGATAAGCTAATTGCAGAGTGAGTAACCGCCGGTAACTAACAAGTGCGATCTTTCAGCTCGCGTGGACGAGCGCGCTGAGAGTAATTGTACAACTTGTCTGAGTTTTTTTGGTACGCGTGCTTCATTGATAGCACGTAAGAGAAACGTATATTATCTATCATATCTCGAAGTAATAATCTCGATGCGCCGCTCCTTTCTAATCCCTCGCGAGACAAGAGTGTAAGGAGACTGAAATCTGACGTGGCTCTGTGCGAAACAATGTATATTTTCATCGAGAATTATTCAATCGCCGCGGAAGAGGATCGCGAACATCGCGCGTGATTTCGTTTGCATTATTTTTCCCATCCTTCAAACCCGGCCGCCGCGATTTTCAAACACTTTTTAACCTATTATCTGCCGATCGTAAGCACACTTAATTTGCATACGACAATATATGCCGACTTGAAAAGCTAGTAATTAGCAGCGAGCTCGCGCGCTTCTAAACAATCGCGGGATAATCATCATCGCGCGCCGATTATCGCTCTCGAGATTTTAGATATGCCCCGGTTTGCGGCCGGTTATATAAAGGCTTATTGTCAATTATTACAGATCAGAGCTTGAAGAGCTGCCGATCGAAGGAATAACAAAGCGATATTTCAACCTCCCGCTCGGCTCTAAGCAGCAATTATCTCGTAAATAACATCGACGGGCGGTTTCGCCACGTGCACTCATTAGTAAACTTGACCCTGCCGTTATTACTTGCTACGTATCCGTATTAAATTAAAGCGATTACTTGTTTACGGAAATTGTTTACCGCAAACGAACGTGTGCGTGCGTTTGTTGATTTTCAACCGAATGAATAATTGCGAGCACATAATCGTTGGATATTTATTTTAGCGGAGAGACGCGTAGACCGAATTTCGGAAAACAAATGCAATTAAACAAATCTGTCGAGATCCGATGCAATTTTAGCAAAATTATGAAACTCTCTCTCCCTCCCCCCCCCTCTCTCTCTCTCTCTCTCTCTCTCAATAAAGGAAGAATCGATTGTTCGCAGAAGGGCTTCGTATCATGTTTTATGAATGTTATCGCAAATTGATATGTCAAAGATACAAAAATATCACATGCTCGTTCGTTTGTTCATCGCGAAAGAGCAACCGCTGAAACAAAGGTGCTGTCTTCGCACAAGCAATCAGATCACTTACCGACTAATCGATTAAAGGCGGAGCGCGATCGCGCGAGTGACATGCAGAAAAGAAAAAAAAAAGAATGCCGCTAAATCTTTGTTCAGCTGGAAGGCTGCGCGGCGCAAAGATGGGTCAACCTTTCGCCTTGCGATTATGTAAGGCCTCGGACTGACTGACCTTTAGGTTCGTTCATGGCATGCGGCATTTACGTAATTTACCGATTACGATGTATTAGAGTCTGCTTGAGTTGCGCCTGGAGAACACTTCTCCCTCTAACGCCGATATATTTTCAAGCGTGCACCAGATTACAGCACGCGCTCTTACGTGATCTCTTCAAATTATACACACATATATTGCGCGTATGTGTGTACAATATAGATACACGCGTGTGCAGATAGAGGCATTTTGAGTCATGGTGCTCCAATTACGTTCCTACGTCAACGTAATTATTTTCGTTATTAAAATTGACTCAATGTTTTTACTCGTTTCAGTTCTCCCCTCCCTTTCCCAAAAGTTTTTGGAACCCCTGGGCTCTCAAGAATTTTTTCGTCGATTTTTCTTCAACTGACTCAAGTAGCTTCTACTTATCCTACGTGTACGATTCACAAAATGACACAATTAACATGATCTTTCATGCGGCTTTTGAGAAACTAACCGAACGAAGCGATCTTTTCGATCTTCCCTCGAAGAAAGGAAGATGAACGCCAATGATAATGATGGAATAGATGATAGCTACGAGCGCGTTACATTATCCTACTTATATAAATATTTATAGATATTTTGGTATAATATTTTTTTACTTCTCGTTTTACTTAGAATTTTTTCACAAGTTAGACAATAAAATTCGTAAGGCTTAGACGTGAAATCACAAGTCGAAAGAATAAAGGATATAAGAGCCAAGACAAGGATGTTGGTGTCTAATGGTTGGTGTCTAAAGGTGTCTAAATGATTTTAATTTTTCAAATTTATTGCGAAAAATTTTCCTTAGTCAGAATTTGAACCCGGATCCGACAAGAAATTAAAATTCTTATCCTGGTGCGCAGAGAAACTGTCTCGTTAATCTGAAAGGTACTTCGACCAATTTCGTTTATAATTAAAGAGGTTTGTAAACATAGTTAATAATTTAATATTACGTAATATACATACATAAAATTAATTCTCATTTTAAATGACATAATTAATTGACGTAGCATTAATCTCACAGTTAATTATGCAACACCGTCAAAACAATAATATGAAACATATCACGTTAAAAATTCTGAATAGTTAATTTTTTTAACATTAGTTTAATTTAACTTTTGACCACGGTTAATTACAATAATTACTTGCGTGTTACAGTAGTTTTGTAGCAGAATTTTACGCCGAACATATACTGTACTACGTACCTTAAGTTCAAGCCGATACATCTAGATCCATTATTACAAATTAACATCGAAATTCCGGCTGACCAAATTCTGCTCGCAACAATAACAAGGAGGTAGAAAAAAAAAGAAGCAGAAGTTGAATAACAAGTGCGCTTTTCCCTTTTCGCCCCCAGCGTCCTCCGCGGCCGCAGTTGGCATTACCGCGGTGCAAAACTGAGCCGCGCAGCGGCTCGCGTTTACCGACCGGTGCCGGCCGCGCCATCGCCGTGTTTACGTTCGCGCGTCTCGCGCACCACGTGTGTCGTGTCGCGATCAGGTGACCGGGGACGACGGACGTTTTGCGGGAGTTCCGCGCCGTAGCAGGTGTCAGTGACAATAGCCGTCGAAGCCTCCGCGTACGCGCGAGATGTTGGAGTCGACTTTCCAAGCCCTGGCGAGCGGTAGGACGATCCTGGCCAGCGGCTCGCCGAGGCGGTGCGACATAATGCGACACTTGGTAAACACAGTCGAACGATCTTTTCTTTCAAGCGACCGCGCGGATGTTAACGGCCTGGACGCGCGGCCGCTCGAGCGGAATATCGATCGCGTTAACGTGACGCATTTAATGTTCGCCAGCGCATAAACGCAGAAGTGGTGCCGTCCCTCTACGACGAGAAGCTCGACAGGGCCAGGTACGAGGGGCACGGGGAGTACGTTCAGGACATAGCCAGGTACAAGGTGCTCGAGGTGTATGAACGTTTGAAGGCGGACCCAGTGCCGCCGTCCCTGATAATAGGAGCGGACACCATGGTGACGATGGGCGACGTCATTTATGGGAAACCTCGCGACGAGGAGGACGCCTTCCGGATCTTGTCCAGGTAAAGTAACCACCGTCCAGAGATTGCGTCGCGCGGAGGCCGGGCTCGTTTAGCATTCGCCCATTCTGAAGACAACCTGTCGTTCAGGCGGGGTAACGGTGGGGAATTTGTTTACTAGAGGGGCCTTCAGGTGTATGGCCACTCTGCATCCATACGACGCCACCAAACCAATTGAACTATAAAAACATACTGGAAGGAGCACTCCATTGTTTTCGTTGCGGTTAGAGCTGTGTGAGAGAGATAAGGGCCACTTTAACCAACTCCGATTAACTTTATTATATAGATTAATGGCCGATTTTTTCACTTCCCGATAAAATTATCCGGAGGTTAATCTCAAGTTATAGGCCCGGTTTCACCAACGCGAGTTAATCTAATCGGTCGGTTAACTTTCAGGGTGCCAACAGCCGAACATAAAACTGATACCAAGAAATTAGGTTAACAAAGCAGTTTTATGTTGGCACCCTGAAAGTTAACCGACCGATTAGATTAACTCGCGTTGGTGAAACCGGGCCTTAGCCAATCACGTGCATGGATCTGGTAGTTTATCTCCTGGTTAACTTTAACCGCAACATAACTGGATGTGAAGAAATCGGGCATAACTCAATCAGCAGTGTCGCCAACATGAAGACTTTTTGTGTGTCGTTCTTAACTTAATCTTTCTGATGCATGGTATAATTGTAATTTCACACATTAAATTAAAATACTCTTCTTGAAAACCTACAACAGCTTTAACATAGATGAAATTGTTAAATTGTTACGTCAGTACAACAGGTTACTAAGAGATAGGTTAAGGGCAACTTTCACCAAGCTCCGATTAACCCAACCGGTCTAGTAACATGCAGGATTGCAATCTTGCGAATCTGATGAGAAATCTGATGAGAATCCGAGAAAATATATCAGATTCGGTTACAATCCTGCATGTTACTAGACCGGTTGGGTTAACCGGAGCCTGGTGAAAGTTGCCCTAAGAACGACACACACAAGTTTTCATGTTGGCGATGCTGGTTGGCTGATAGTGCTGATTGATTTAATCGTCGATTGAAGTTTATCGGAGTTGGTTAAAGTGGCCCTAAGCTGGGACCGTGCTATCTTTGTCTAATTAGCTGCAGCGATCACGTAATTCACTTCACGTGACGTCATTTCAGCCGCAGAAAAGATGTTAAAAGAGACAACACGGTCCCAGCTAGAGACCCTGTAATCAGAGACTGGCCATAAGAGTTCGTCAAGTTCCTGCGAGTGAGAGAGAAACATAGACTATCTCATTCATTGCAGGGTCTCTAGTCCCAGCTTAACTATCTCTCTCTAACCGCTCGATACTATGGAGGGGGCAGGCAGTGCTCATTCCAGTATGGTTATAGTTTAATGAGGCAGGGTAACGGTGGGAAATTTGTTTATTTACTAGAGGGGTCTTCGGGGGTGTGGCCACTTTGCATCCATACGATGGACTACCAAACCATAGTATAACTAGTAGGTCCACTCTCTGCCGGCCCCTTTGATCTTCGCGGTCCCGATCACGTGGTATTTCGCTGCACACTCGGCCAGGATCCAGCAATGTGTGTGTGTGTGTGTACACGTACTCCTCAAAGCCACAGTACCACACATACAACTTTTTTCTCATTGATCTGCCCAGAGCAATGTCGAATGCGCAGAAAGAATCGACGCAAAATAAAACAAATGACGGAGTGGACCTACTAGTTATACTATGAACAGACCATTGAGTGAGATACCATGCATCGCTCTAGAGTCGCGCTGCTAGTGTACTACTTCTAGTTTATTCAGTAAAATAAGTAGATAAACGAGAAGGGTTTCGAGTGTGAACCTGGGTAGTTCAGTTGGAAGAGCATTCGCTCGACAAGCGGAAGGGGTTCGAGTCCTGGTCTAGTCTTAGTCCGTTATTTTTCCCGTCGAAAATTAATAAGTGGCGCGTCTTAGTGCCTACCTCCCTAAAGATACACCTCTATTTATTACTATACCGTACGTGACACAAGTGTGGTCTTTTCCTCAGCTTGGCAAACAGGCAACACGTAGTCTACACCGGCGTGTGTTTGAAAACACCGAGGACCGAGGTCCAGTTTTACGAATCCGCCAAAGTAAAGTTCGGAGATGTGTCGGAGAGGCAGATAAGAGAGTATATCAAAACTGGCGATCCCATGTGAGTGCAGGCTGTTTGTCGCGATGTCTGTAAAATCCATTTTCTGCATGCGCTTGTGGGCCAATCAGTACCCTTTATTTATGCACCGTGCGCAAACTTGTCTGGACGTACTCTTGGTCTTCGCGCTGAAGCGAGGATGTTATTTCAGGGATAAGGCAGGCGGCTACGGTCTTCAGGGTGTAGGCGGCTGCCTGATCGAGAAAATAGAGGGTGATTATTACACTATAACGGGCCTGCCGCTGTACTCGCTGGCCAGACAGTTGAACCGATTGTTCTCCAACGTTTAGCGAGAATATCAATGTTGCGTACCTGTCAGTTACCTGAAACTACCATTGTACCGTCGTTCCCACATGAATAAATTTTATCACGCTAAAAGCCTCATAAATTTATGAATTCTCCCTGTTTGTGTATTTAATAGTCCGAACGTTGTTGCGGCTTAACCGGTATATATTTGAGCGCGCGTTAATATTGATATCGCGCTCATCAACATTCATGATCGTGTCGCGCGCCGTCAAAGACACAAAGCGGATCACTCGTTTGGTGTTGTAATTAAATTAACTGGACCTGGGCCACGTACTCATTCGGTACTTTCTCCCTTTTCCCTCGCGTGCCGTGACGCAAGATTTTCTAATGCTGTTCCTCGAAAGCTCAGAAATTATTATATCATTCGAGTTTGCGTCGCATCTCAACACTTTGCGATATCGAAAAGAACCTCATTTTACTCTCCTTTATCCAGAGAAATATTTTTCCCGATGTTTGTCATTCCTTATTTAAGGTTCTTTCCCTAAAGTTCTTTCCCAACTATGCTAGTCAAAATGAGACTTAATCAATAAAGTCCAATAGACAATTAATTCTTTTATATTAAATTCAAGAACAGGTTTTTAAACACTAGTGCTTCCCTTAAAAATATTAAAAACTGATAAAATAAATACTACAATTTTAACATAGGTCCTTTAAGATATAAAATCAATTAGAAATTAAAGAGGCCGTTTAGGACCGGGCATAGGTGTACGTAGCCAGTTAAATTAAATTATTTAAGTGAATTCATATACCGTATTTTTTCCAACTTATCCTGCGCGCCAGTTACATACTAGTCTTAAAACACAGGTTAATCCCCGTAAGTGGAAGTGTTATCGTCAGTGAATTCACGCTTATAAATTATTTTTAATAATGCTACACAGTAGCATCTAATATGCTAAAATAAAATAGCATTCTGAATTGCGTAGTGTTAGCAGAGCGTTGATCGTGACAACATTGCATTTCGTCGTGAATGCGACAACTTGTGAAAAGATATTTTAGTTATAGGAATTAGATGTTAAATAATATACATCAAAAGAAATTGTCTCTAATCCATCCTTGGGTGTCACTCGGAGGAGAGTGTTCGAAGGCACGTCTATTCGAAGTGACGACCAAAGTGGGAATCTAACTAATAAAGACATCTGCCAGCCTAACGTCGTTGAACAATTCTTTCTACCGTTAATAAACTACTGGCGACTTACACTCTTTCGATATTTTAATTATAATAATGGAAAATTAGTTACGATATAAAGGACGTTTTATAAAAAAAAACGAAAGTGTTAGAGCAGAAGCGAAAACACAAAAAACAATTAACCAAAAAACCTGCCCCAGCAAGGCCCAATGCCTAAACTAATGCCCCAAAAATGCCCAAAAATGCCTTGTAATGTCTAGTAATGCCCAGTAATGCCGCAAATCTGTACACCACAATGCCCACAGCGGTTTTCCCCTCGTGTCTTGTATATCAAGTCTTGGAGCCAGTTTCACAAACATCGGTTAACTTGGTAACCGAAGTTACTTGATTCTCTGTCTTTTCTTAAATAATGAGATGGAAAAAGTTAGGGAGTCGACTGAACTCTGGTTAAACAGTTAACCGACGTTTGTGAAACTGGCCCTTAAGCCCGGTTTCACCAAACGTCACTTAACTTTAATCTTAGTTCAATTCATGTCTGTCTCTTTGTAAAGTAACAGTTGGAAGGAGACAAAGAACGAATTGAGCTGAGCTTAAAGTCAAACAACGTTGGTGAAACCGGACCTTAAACACGAAGACAACGTTTGCAAAGAATAAAAGTAACAATTTTACTGTACGACCGCCAATAGATGAATATATTTTATAAATGTCGTCTTGAAATTACGAACCAGCTATTCTGCCAGAACCTTAACAGAAGGTTATATTAATTCGTGACTTTACTTTCTAAGTCGAGATCGAGGAAAGCGCGCGTCTGCAGGAAACGCTGTCCCAGTAAACACCAGTTACGTAACATTAATATTATAATTTCCTACTCAACACTGTAACCGTCATATGCAACACATGCCGCATTACATTTACTTTATATATCTCGTCGCTAGTGGGAAATTATATTGACGTTGCGATGCAATTACCCGGTAAACATGCGTCAACTAACAGTTACATAATCAATATTATATTTTCTCGCTCAACAATATAACATGCACGTAATAATTGCACTGTTGAGGAGTAAATTACAATGTCGACGCTGCGTAACTGTTGCTTCCCGGACGACTCTATTGCCATTGTATTCTTCTGTGAATTCCTGAAGAATTGCACTTCAGAATGGCAGAAAACTTGAAGAATACTTTGCGAGCTCGCTGTGCTATCTGGGTGTTTGCCGGCTATGTAACCGTTGATTGACGTTTACCAGGATACGTTTTTTTTTAATTATCCCTCGCGCCTCTCGACGGCGGGTTTCATAAAACCCGCCATCTGCGGTGTCGCCACACCGGAGGCGTTCGCGTCTCGCGGAGTCTCGCCGCTCGCTCGCGCGATGCGTCTGGTCGTCTCGCGGGCCCCCCGCACCTGCAGCCACGTTTCAGGAATCGGGATTCGCGATCGTGCGGCGTAGCGTGAGCTACCGTTCGGTCTCTCGGCGTGTTTGCGTGCGTGTGTGTGTGTGTGTGTGTGTGTGCGTGCGTGCGGCAAAGTGCGCGCTTACGGCCGCTTACGTGCATCAGCCCGGGGGAGAAATGGAGGACGTTTTGAACGAGGTCGTCTCTTCAGAGGATCTGAAGGTAAACGCGCCCGAGGGATCGCCCTAGCGTCGCGCCGACGTCACGGGCCCTCGACGTTCCCCGTTACTCGCGCTCGCTGTCCCGAGGCTCGGCTCGGAAACGACGGCGATGACGCGCGTTAGGGAGAGTTAGGTTAGGTTCGCGCGGCACCTACGTCGCGTACCGTTCCGCGCGCCGGAACAACTCGCTTCTCGCGATCATCTTCGCGGTTCTTGAACAGTCGCGTCTGCCGGGCGGACACCCCCGACGTACGCGGCGCGTTTTCTCCGGTAAAAGCACGCGTAAGTACGCGCTGCGCCGTTATCCCGCGAACGAGTCGGTAATTAAATTGACACCTCGGGAACGAGGTCGAGGGAATGACGCGCGAACCGGCGGAGACGCACGAATGTTGCATCATCTTGTGACAACACTGTCGTGATTACATTTTAGAAATTCGAGACTGTGTACAATGACCAGTTGGACTCGTCGGACGTTACGAGCAAGGCTCAATTCGAGTACGCCTGGTGCCTTGTGAGGAGCAAATACTCGGCGGACATTAGGAAAGGGATAGTGCTGCTGGAGGACCTCTATAGCAACAGCGATTCGGAGAAGCGCGATTGTCTGTACTACCTGGCCATCGGGAATGCCAGGATAAAGGTAAGATACGCGCAGCACGGGCGACGGTGTCTTGTTGCAAAGCGATATCTAGATCCGTAACCATTGATACGCCTCCTTCCAGGAGTACTCCAAGGCGCTCTCGTACGTAAGGGCGTTCCTACAGATCGAACCCGCGAACTTGCAGGTGCAGCAGTTGGAGTCGTTGATAAGGAAGAAGATGGAAAAAGGTTTCCCTTTTACAATTTATTATCGGCTTAGGAGAATAAGGCTCGTGATTCGTCCGGGGGCGGTGCCTCTGTGGGATTTCTGTCATTTTCTTACGCAGTCGTGCTATTTCTGGTTGCTTCTGCTAATCCTTCTGCTCTCCTGGATCGCTAAATCCTATGTCGATTCCGCCTGGTGATTCTGTATTTTTCTAACGCGTACTAGTCCAAGGCCCGCGTCAACTTTTCGACCAAGTAGCTAAGCTTTTGCATGCTTTTGCGGTACAATTTTCTAACGTAACCCTCTTCCATAAACTTCTGTAAATACCTTTTTACTTTTTTAAATCTCGTAATTGTGCAATACTCCTCAATTTCTTCCTCGTGACAGTAGGTTATTTGGTTCGATATTTTAATACACAGACTTTAGCGTAGACCCGGCAGTTCCGTTAATCCCTCGCTGTATTTTTCTGCTACGCATCTGTCTTTAATATTCCATTGTGTATATTCTGTATAATGAGTAATAAAAATTTGTACCGACGACATAAAGAAGGTATCCATATTTAATACCATCAAGCTGTTTCACACGCGCTATATTGTTCTCTTTTTATCCGCGGCACTAATCGCATCGACTGACAACTTGTTGAAATTGCAAGGATCACCTAATAGGGTACTGTACATTGGTACCTTCGTGTTTGGAATTGGCATTAAATCTCGTTTGTTTCTTTTTTTTTGCAGAGGGCCTTATGGGTATAGCTGTCGCGGGAGGTGTTATTATCGGTATCGCAAGTATTCTGGGCCTGGGCATCGCGATGGCCAAAAAGAATTAGTTACCCCCCTTTCCCCCTGAAAGAACTATTAGTACTGTGACTATACAAGTACATTTGTGATGTAGCCTGTTTGCGTGAAATGGTGTGTAACTTGCGTCGTATTGCCGTTTGAGACAGCGACCAGTCTCAAATGTACCAGAAACGTTAACCAAATCCAATAAATGTAATTTGTAACGTTATTTTTCTATTAATCACAAAGAAAGGAGGGCAGGGAGAAAAACCGGCTTATAAATACCGATTCGTTCAATTGTTTATGTTAATTTAATCGTAGCACACAAAACGCCATTCTTTTAATAATTAATAACAAAAGTATCTGTCGAACGATCGAGCCAGTTTAATTTCCGGTACATTCATCGAAATTACGTGCGATCATTTTCTCACATTCCGAAGTTACATGCGATTATTTTTTACATTGTATACGTTACGCGTGTCGCGCACACGGATGTGGATATATCGCGTAAGGATACATGTGTATCCATGAGGTTTTGTATTAACCAATTTTATTTATACGCGAGTGTGCTTGACAAAAACGTACACCAAAGCGCTGATCGGAATTGCAGAACGATATAAATTATAGCTTTTGTATATAATTAGGGTTGTATTTACAGTTGTACGCGCGTATCGATTTATGTTGTTATCCTTTTAATAAAAGTCAATGTTGGAAGCTATGCCGGACGATGCTTTTTCCACGCCAATTATTACATGCGTATTATTATGTGCGTACGCAACTTCGCCCCCGGAACCCGACAATCCTATCGTAATGAAATTATGTGGAAATGTAGGGCAGCGTCCCACTTGACGACACATCGGGAATTTATTCGCGCGGAATATTTAATTCGTGTTCACTCGCGGCGAAACGCGCGTCGCTCGAATGGATTTTCGCGTCTTTATTCCCGAAGCTCGGGGAAGGCGCGCGGCGCCGATAAGAGCGGAAGTTTGACTCCTTTGAGAAAGCGAAGCGCTGATCCACACGTTAAACGCGGGCGTTCAGCATTAAATCTGACCGCCCGATTCCCATTGTATGTTTACCATCCATCGTGATCTTCGTATTACGCAAATGCAATCGCATTATGCCAGATGTAACTGTCTGAGTCCCTTCGTGTTTACGTTTCAATGCGATTTCCATATTAGATATATGAAACTCGGGTCTATATAGTTGGCCGTATCTAGCGTTAAATGCACCGCCAAACACAGATGCGAACATTGACTCGGGCAATTCTGGCAACAAATATTCGACCGTGCTTATCGGTGAACAGCGTTTGCGTGATGCGTGCCTCTATTTGTCCGAAACCGCGTTTCTCGCAAGCGGGGCATGAAACTGATCATTCGGAACATTCGGGGATCTGCGATTAAGATCGTTTTAAAATATTCAGGATATATGAGTGGATTCGCAAGTTCTGGGATCAAACGAGAGGGACGGATAAAGGAAATACAACACGATTTCCAACACTTTTTTTATATATAGATTTATTGATGACTTAATATCCGTTGATAAAGTTGTTTATGTACAAAATAACGCTGGAATATCCCTATTAATATTATTATTACTATTATTATTATATTATTATTAACGACCTATGTTATGGCCCGCGGACTGTCCCTTTGCCTCGAAAAGAGGACAGCCCTCTTTTTCGCTCGGTTCGACGAGTTCGGAGTTACGTTCGCTTGTCCTTTCCATGCCGAAAAACACGAGCGCCACGCGCCCTTTCCCGCCCGCCTTCTTTTCCCACGTGCTCGCCCGCAAATGCGACGGAACAATATTTACACAGGCCGATCGCGACCGGATCGGCGCCGCCGCCGGAAAGCGGACGAAAAGAAGGCCGCGAGATCGGAGCGGGGACGTGACACGTCCGCGCCGTACTCGCCTTTTATGGTACACACCTTAATGAAGGATCCTCGTTAAGTAAAGAGAAAATCGAGTATAGGCGACGAATGCGAATTTCGTTAAACGCGTGTTGTGTGTGTGCGTGTGCGCGTCGACCCGCATCCTCCCGGCGTCCCGGCTCGCGATTTTTCATTAAATTTATCTCCAATTATCTCGACCTGACGAAGTCTCGTCGTCGCTGGCCCTTTCGCGAATTTTTCTTCGTTTTATTGTTTGGCGACGTAATGTTCTTTCGGTAATAGAACGCACGCTAAATTATCGAGTCTCTGTAAATTTGGCAAGTGGGACTTGTACGTTCCAGCAGTGATGAAAGGGTCGAGATGAAAATCGGGGGGGAGGGAAAAATGGAAATCGCTGTTCAGCGATTAGCGTGTTTTCTACTCGACGCGCCCGGTCATGGTCAGAATGGCTGTCCGACGTTTTATATTATGTTTTTGGAATATTCGTACATATCATTCTTTTGCCCTAATAATACGCCGTCGCACACATCGTATTTCCGAAATTTATCATAAAACGTCGGACTACCTTTCTGACCACGACTGTACGGTCCGAGAAATAGAATTTGCCTGTGTCACGAGCATAGACTTATATATTATATATAGGCTGCGTCTTCATACGGGCCGAGTTGAAACCAAGATCTGAAGAACAGAAATAGGCTATCTCACTTTTCTACGATCGTAGATAGCCTAAGTTTCTCTCTCACTCGCGGGGATTTGACGAACCCTTATGGCCAGTCTCTGATTACAGGGTCTCCAAGTCTCTATCGCTCCCTCTCTCTGGTGTTGTCTTCAAAACCTTTCACGGCGCGCAGTCCATTTATATAAGTCTATGGTCGCGAGGTGCGAGAAAAAATATTATAAATATAAATATAAAAAAAGGAACAGCGAGGATCGGCATGAAGATGCAACTTCGCGAATGGTGCATCTTTCGCGCTGAGCAACGCGCGGCGAGGATGCGGGCCGCCTACCACCCTCGGGAGAGCAACTCGGGAGTGTATTTACAGCGGGGGCAGGGGGAGTCGCGAGGAAGCTGTGCTACGTGTACCCACGGTGTAACCGACCGGTTCATCCGCGAGACGATTGGACGAATCGTCGACCCGGAAATCACGCTGCTGATCCTCCAGTTTAATTATTATAAAAAACAAGAAAATTCGTCGCGCTCGTTTGCGGCCACAAGCGTCTACTTTCGGACGCGCGAGAGCGGTTGTCGATTAATAAACGTTACTGCGGATCACCCGAAAGGAAACGAGGGAGGAAGCTTTGTCGCGAAAGAATCTCCCTCGCGAATTGCGATCGCGCCAAGAAGAAGGAAAACGCGCTGTAAGGAGACGGCCCTTCAGGATTTTCTCCCGAGCGTTTCCCGTGGATATTTGTACAGGCGCCTATCCACCCCGGCGACAACTTAAGAGTCTAATTTAGTTTTTACTTGGCTCGCGCTTTTTTCCCCTTTCTCGTTGTTTCCTACTTATTTTTCGCGGGGATATATTTCAGCGTGCCTTAGGTAAAACGCGCGCGGCCGTTTCAGTCGCGAACTTTTTCCGCGCGAGCGGAAATTTCGCGCGTGTTTACGCAAAACGCGGGAGAACTCGCTTCCCCCCCTCTCCCTCTCCCCGCGGTAATTAAACTTGTCCTTCCAATCCAATTCTAACGCCGTGTACGGCCCGGAAAAGTTGCGCGCGCTCTCTTTCCTTTTTCTATTTTTTTTTATCTCCGCCATAATTCCGTTCCGGACGATAGCACGGTCGGTCTCGCGCGAGGCGGTATAATAATTTGGAAAAATGCGCGGAGAAATCGAGGGGCGCTTCTCGAGCTTTAGCGCGCCACTTGCCGTCGCTCGCGACAACCGGGACTCCGAGGTCGCACGTCCTCGCGACGATCGCGCGGCTACTCCGTGGGTCTCGCAGCTTCCAGCCCCTCTCGCGCGAGATTCGGACCGTCGCCGATCGCGGAATCGCGACTCCGCGATCGGCGAGTCTTTCCCGTTCGCCGGGAGGGAGACGCCTCCTCTTCTTCCCTTTTATCTAGCGCGGGAAGAAATCGCTCAATAGATTAGCAGCTTGAAAATACTTTAAGCGGTTTAAGGATGAATATTGCTTTCTCAATAAGGCTTCGCTATGCTTTACACGAATGTACAGTGTGGGGCGTTGCGTATGCGTTTGTGTGTGTGTGCGCGCGCGCGTGTATGTACGTGTTTTTGCGCGTGTACCGGCTCGTCCGCCGATCGAATCTCGACTCGGAAACGGACCCTCGATCCTCCACGATTGCCCTCCAAATCTAAAAGTGCGTGGAGACGAGATCGAAGAATTACACAATCGCCTAAAGATATCGATCGATAGAAGAAGCTTTAAGTTCCGCCATCCTGGAGAAGCGCGAAATATCACCCTAATGATATACGATCTCTCGTGGAATGTGCATACCGTCTGATTCGTCCGATGAAAACTCGCAATTCCACTCGAACTTGACTCCAAGTCTGAATCAAGCACTATATATATATAATATATCACAATATAAGATTAGGTCGTTTAAATTCGATACATGGGGTATTTTTAACGAAGGGAAACTCGCAAACCGTGGGCGAAATTGCTTTCCTCCTAGATCGAATGTGTACATTTAAGGAAAATCGAGCAAGGAAAAAATCGCACCCATGTCCCCGTAATTTTTACACATTTTTTCCAAAAAATCGAACACACGTTCCGCGCGACGGGATCGACGCAAAGCCCGAACGTTGGCCGGTCGTCCCTAAGATTCGCGAGAGATCGCCATCTACACGATCGCGTAAAAAAATAAAAGATCGCGCGAAGAGAATCCCCGATTTCTCTAGAAATAAGGTCGCGCGCCGGATCGGGCGTCACGCTTGCCTTTTACGGCGGGCGTTAAGTTGCCCGTTTATCATAAGCATCCCTACATCCGGGAATCGCGATCACAATGGCACAGAACGCGCATTGATACCAAGTTTATCGAGGGGCGCCGATAAGCGGCAGTGCTTGCACACCGGCGAGAGATTGCATTGCGCGCCGCTAAGTACGCGGAATTCGTCAATCGACACCCTGTCGCCGCCCGATAACGGCGTCGCGAGCTCGCGGTCGAATGGCAGAACTCGAGCTTATCTCTCGAACGGCAGAAGGAACTCGGATGAGTCGTGTGTTATGACGAGATATGAGACGAGAGAGAGGTAAGCGCGCGCCTTTTGACGCCGCGCGCCGATTTAGAGGGGTCGCAATGAAATATACGAGCGAGACGTACGTAAAGCCTAATCTACAATGCTTTCTGCATGCAGAAACTTTCTATTTCACAAACGTCAGTGCTTTCTTGACCATATCTGGCATATATCTGGCATTTTTAATAATACAGAAAATTTTATGCGAAAAATATTACCTCAGCCAGAGCGTGAACCTGGACTTCCCTACGCTCTAGGCGGGCGTCTGTATTTTATGTATGAACAAATCAAAACGCTTAAAAACTTTGTCGACAATGTACGATTATGCAATGTATAATATACAATTTATCAACTTGCACAAATTGTTTGAACGTATTTATTGACTACAAAATTGAATGTTTCTAGACGCAGAGAGCACATTGTTGATCAGGCTTAAGCCTAATCTTTGCGTCTAGAAACATTCTATTTTACATAAGCAAATCGAAACGCTTCAAAGCTTTGTCGGCAGCATACGATTGTACGATGTACAATTTATCAAGTTGCACAAATTCTTTAAATGTATTAATCGGCTACAAAATAGGATGTTTCTAGACGCAGGGAGCACATTGTTGATCAGGCTTTTAGGAG